GTATTGTGGTTCAATGAACCACTACAGGAGAGTGTACAATTGGCTACACATGTAACTTTTCTATATTACCTATTTAATAAGTCCACCCGAAGGTTCCCTACCAATTGCCGTACCTAACATCCCTGCTTGGGTGTTCTACTTTAAACCCTCTAAATCTGTAATCTGCATTAACATCACTGGTTATCTCTGATGTACCAGATCATTATCCTTAACCTTAGGACTAATTTATCCTCGAAGTAAACCTTCCAGAATCTTCTGTATCCATTTTTACAGCTGACCTAGGTATCACTATAGCAGAACCAACACTTGCAGTCAGGGCTAACCATTAAACCACTATGCCCTTGTAGAGTTCACTTAGACCCCAGCATCTACTTCACAGCATAACTCCAGTACTTTAGTATATCTCTGCCTTTTGTCCAGCCTTTTTACCAAACTTTCAATCCAGATAGCCTGTATAGGACTATGACCAGTCCATCAATATAATGGGTCGGCCCAATATCCTTTTCCTTTAGTTCGTTCTGATGGCCTAGTTGGTGGTACCTCTGGGACTCCAACCTGAAGGTTCTTGCCTGTCCGGCTACTACAACCGGGTACTATAACCTTGGTATCCATTTCTCCAGGCTAGCTTTACAGTAGAGTCGTCGAAGATCCAGCTACCTCTTTACTCAGGTCTTCCTAAATGAACTTTTAGTTACTCAGTTTCAACAGATTTACACAGTCACAAGGACTTATCTAGTGTTTGCACTGTCCAATTTGTTGGTTTGCATTCTTCTGTGTAATACCATATTTACACAGATGCCCCATAACCTGCCAGTTATGCTGGTGTGACCACCATTACAGGTATCCTAACCCAATCGTTAGTAACAGTTGCTGTAATATGAATATTACATAGGTGATTATCCAAATTTTCACCGTCAATAGGATTTGAACACCCAACCTACCACTTGGAGGGTTGACAACCTGACCACTTCACTAGGTCACCACATTCTATTTATTAATTTTTTAATAAATAAATATCAATTATATATTATTAATTGTATAAATTTTATTTAATTCTAATAATACTACTATATCACAATTACATAATTTTTAATTTCAATTTTTTTTACAATACACTATATAAAAAATATAATATAAAAAAATAAACAAATAAAAAAAAAATAATAAATAAAATAAAAAAAAAATTCAAAAAAAATATATATAAAAAAAAAAGTAAGTCAACAAAAAAAAAAAACAAGCAAAAGAAAAAGAAAAACAAATCAAAAAAAAAACTAGAAAACAATATTAAAACTTGTTATAAAAAAAGAAAAACTCTAATTATAAACTTCAAATAATCAAATAAATAACCTACTTTTGTTTGAAGTAATGCAACAGATTGCTAGACTTAAGTATTAGGTATTTCTATGTAATTGCAAAGAATCTTAATAAAGTATTAGCATAACTGCTTAAGTTAAAAAAAAATTTAAAATATATAAATATATAAATTTTTATAACTAAAAAAACCAATTATACGTATTATATTTTTAATATAAAAGCATTTTATTATTAAGCCTATAAAGACCTTTATAATTTGCAATAAGCAACCCTTCTCAAATTTTCTATTATTGCAAAGAAAATATTACATACAAATAGTCTAACAATGAGCAAATTGTAATAATATTTGCGTAAAGGTATAGTAAAAATGTAAACAATTCCTGATTTAGAAGATCATTGCACAAAAACGTAATAAGATTTACCTAATCTCTACGAATAGTAACAATCTCGTAAATCGATGACGTGGTTACAGAGGCGCACCAGGTGCACAATTTCATAAAATCTGAGAAACTTGATTTATTTTGGGTTGCAGGCGATTGGTTATTGAAATTAAAGAAAATTGAAGGTCTGAAAATTCCTAAAAATATATATATATAATTATTATTATTTACAAAAAAGGAAAATATCGCAGGCCAATGTAGTGTAAGACAAAGGTAATGTAGATACTCTAGGCGCAAATAAAAGATCTAAAGTCTTGGAGTCCTTATAAAGTATAGAAGTCAAAATTTGTTCAATTCCCCTGCTGAAAGAATGAAAAAAAAATTTAATAGTAATTAAATAATTAGCGAACTAAAATTTCCAAAAGATCTAATTACACGTACCAAGAATTGGAGAATTCTTGTTGTACTACCAACTCTTCATTTACTCTAGAAAATAGGTTGTTTCTTGTTTGATCAACTTCGGCAATCTTTTCTTTTAAAGATTCGTACGTAATAAAAGGCGAAGATTGCTCTCCTGAATATCTTAAAGACCTACGCATTTTCACTTAAAGTGGCAAAAGACGATATCAAAATTATAATAAAATTTGAATTTTAAGATACATAAAAGAAACTTACACATTTCCAAATCCATTAATCTGTTAATAGATAATAATAAATGATCACCACTTCCTACAACTGTTTTTTCTATATTTGGTTCCACAAAATCAGGTACAGACATGAGTGTCTATTATATATTTTGCTCGTTAGCTATTTAGTGTATTCAACGTCTGAAGCCATTATAAAAGAATATATATATACTTTTTGTGCAGTAACACAATCCCTGCGATGTTCTAACTTCTTTGTAACATCGGAAAGCAATCTGTAGACTGCCTTTTGATCGTCCGATTCGAGATTGAGAGTTTTAGAGATGAATTGAGTACGCGAATATTGAGATAATAAAATATCGTTCACCTACATCATTGTTCAAATATCAATAAAATAATACAAATAAATAAATAAGGACAACCTTAAATCATACCAAATTAAATCTATCTATTAACGACTTTTGATACTTTAATTGAATAGAATAATTGGCCAACAATAGTGGATTTTCAATTTGCAACACAGTGAGATCTTTTAAATATTCTCCAATTCTTGAAGTCAAAACCGACTTGACCTCTTGGTTCAATATAGTACTGTCGCTTATATATTGATCACGTTTTGATCTAAAAATATTAAATGTCAATAAGTTTTGAAAGATGAATTTATGAAAACGTAATTGGACTAAGGATTGAACCCATATCCGGGTTACCCGCGGGTAGGCCATGTAACCGGATAAAGATTCTGCTACCCGGATAAAAAAAAAAAAGCATCTATCAAATACAAAATATTTTCTATATACCATGCTATTCATTATGTACTTATGTCACATGAAAATGTCTCAACCAATCAAATCGGATAATATTTACCCGGGTATGCTAATAATTAACCGACAGGTAACCCGAATTGGGTTTTTTTAAACGGGTTCAATCCCTAAATTGGACTTACTCTAAATTATTGAAGTCAGGAATAAATGAATCTAGCCCTAAGGTATCATTTTCGAGCGTTCGTAAATATGTAGTCATATATTCACGACGAGTAATCGCTTCAATATATTTAAGTTCAGTTTTCGGGCAGCTAGTAAAAACATACATTATTGTTACTTTATGATTGTGTGACAGATAAGGAATATAACATGAGCGATGCTAAGAGAAAACCAGACTTTAGGTTTTTAAATTTATAGCCTACCAGACTCAATTTCAAGAATTGAATACAGTAAGTTATAAGTTTAGAAAGTCCAAGGTCTGATTTTCCTGTAGAGCCACTCCATAAATTCTAAGAGATTATTACAGAGATTTTAGACGTTTAATTTCATCATATAAAGTTCTCAGATCGAAAATTCCATCTATATTCTTAAAACAAGTAATTTCAGATTGCAATAAATTTTAGGAATAAAAGATGTGTAATAAAATTTCAAGTTCTTACTTGTGGGAGTAGGTTCTCACGGAATTGTTGAAGTTCATGTGTGAATGCTTGATCAATGTTTACTATATCCTGGATATCATTTGTGCATTGAAATATAAAGGTTTTCGCTTTTCCTGTTTGAATACAAGATAATAAAAATTTTTCTGACGAATCAACTAATGACATGACAAATTCAATATAAATTGGAATTCGACGAACCACTTCCTTCACGCGTGTCTCTTTCAGACAATACTTCAGACAACGTAACAAACAAGGCGTTTGTCTCAACATCAAGCTGCAAGTGATGTAGATGAGATATAATGTCATCATCACTTGTTACAAATATTTCACAATATTATAATCTACTAAATCTACAAAAACCTTAATGGACTCCTGTTGAATCAACGAATCAACTTCTTTACTTCGCCCATCTAAATTACGATTGATTCTCTTCAAGTCTGCGAGCTGACTTTCTAAATCTTCTAATGTTATCCTATTTTAAATCATACACGTGCAAATGTTGGCACTACTATATCTCAAATGCAACATTTAATATAAGAAAGTTATCATACTTAAGCTGGTCACGGTGATTAGATACGCGATCATGTCTCTTTCGCAATATATCGATTTCATTTTCAAGGCTTTCGTATTCTTTCCTATTGTGTTGAAACCAATTTTTGTTCACATATCTAGACATCCAAAGAATTTATTAATAATTCGTTAATAAGCCTACCTGATCTTTGCGAGCTCTATTGACAGGCTTTTGAATCAATAAATACTTATATAAATTTGGGTGAAATTTTTACGCAGCACAATGGAACTAAAAGATCAAAGCCCCAACCACTTACAAATCATAACGTTTGAACTTACAGACCACCTTCGTTATTACCAATTAAATTTTTTTCATCAATTGTTTCACATAGCCAGTTAAGTAAATAACGCGTTTCTTTATTCTCAAAAGCCCACAATATTTGCTCTGGTTGTAAAGCTGAAACATTAGGATATTTCAATTTTGACAAGAAATTTATGAAGGCTGTCGCGGAATGCAAACCAGACGCAGTAAGTGATGTCGTAGAGTACATTTTTTAAGCGTAAAACGCGGAACCACAATATATGCTCTTACACATTTATTAGCCTTTCGATTGAATGCAATTCTTCAATGTGTGCCAGGTTTGTGGCGCAGTTTTCCTGAACTACGAATCAAATTTCAAGATCAGGCGTAACGTAACACGATCAAGAACCTAGCAGGGTTGGAGGCATGGCAAATTTTTGGTAGGCTTTAATTCTAATTGGATAATTGGCCAATTATATAATAGCTCTATATCACATGATAGAGACATGGATTAGGCTTGAAAACAATTTCTGTTAACCAATCAAACTTCAAGATCAGGAATACCATAAGATAGTAGTCCAAAATATAGACTATGAAACCATTACTTATTATAAAAATTTCTGTGAAATAATATCTTCGAACCCTAACCAAATGGCAAGATCCTGTCCCTAACTTAAAGGCTCGAAGTTTTACTAGTAATGTTTTATTACAAGCACGAATGTAATTGGCATATAATCGTTATCAATGCTATAAAAAGTTAGAACGGTATAGTCAATTACTTTGCTAAATTCGTTGATTTTTGAAAGTGCATCTAGTTTGGCACGTTATTAATATGATCCTACCCGGTAGAATACGAAAATTCATGCCAGCATTGAAAAAGCTTTATTCTAGGTAAATAGTCCGATCTGATCACAATAAAATAATCCCATGAAGTGCCGGAATTGGCCAGCGTTAGAGTATAATGTAGGCCGACTTTATGACAAGATTCCGTGTAACTTAGTCTAAATACGTATATATCGATATAATTAAAAACGATTATGTAAAAGCGAAAGGTTTGTTTATTGATGATCTAATTTATTAGGTGATTTTTCGATCAACCAATATAGGATAAAAAATGTACTACACATTAACAACCGGTATTAGGATAAAATGTCGGTCCGGTTAATAAATTTAGTAATAGTAAGCATCAGCCGGTAAGACTAAACCGTTACACATTCTCATTTTCGAAAAAAAATGTCAACACCAGTTCAGCGAAAGAAAGCTAATGACTCATCGGTACCTTTTACAGATACCTCATACCATAATCAAAAAGAATCCCGTAAATCTTCCACTATACTTAAACCAATTTTGCAAGGAATAGTACTTTTTATAATTGCATTTTTTTTGACTAGTTATTTGATTACTGAGACTTGGACTTGGGGATATCAAAATAAATATACAAATTGGAGGAATTGGATTCCAGTATTTATTAACACGTCTTCTCTCAAGCTTAGTTTGGAAAAACTTTTAATATTGCTTTTTTGAAATAGCGTAGGGAAATTGTATTTACTGAAGAAGAACTGGCTAAATATGATGGATCAGATCCAAATTTACCGATTTATATTGCCTTGAAGTAAGAAACTTTACATTATTTTATACTTGAAGATTGGCGATTATATAATTCACATGCTACACCGAATTTTTTAGTGGAGAAGTATTTGATGTGACTAGCGGGAAACATTATTATGGAAAGGTAAAAAAAAAAAAAAACTGATCGAATAAATTAGCCCTTGATTTTAACAAATATTGATTAAAAAGAATGTTTATAATATAGGGCGGTGGTTATAGTTTCTTCGCAGGAAAAGATGCTTCTCGAGCGTACATAACTGGATGCTTCCAAACTCATCTTACTCATGATCTTCGTGGTTTAACACCTCAACAGATCAAGGTATGGTAGCTTGAAATGCTTATGAGTTTTTGTTTAAGATTTTATCTTTTAATTTTTTAAATTCTTGCAGGATATTGAAAATTGGGCTTCTTTTTATCGTGATCACCATTCTTATTTTAAGGTTGGAATTGTTATGCATCCACCTATAGACCCGAGTTCGCCTATTCCAGCACCGTGTGATGATGCTTCAGCTCCGAAGGAATAATTATATGATTGGGTGTATAAATTCTTTACATTTGTATCATGTAATATTTTAATTCATATTTTATTTTCAATCTTAATTTATTAAAATCATGAATATAATAAATTCTACCATTTTATTTAGATTTGGTTCTTTTCATTAAATTTTTCAATTTCTATAATTTATAACGATTATTCAGTAACGAATATATATATATAATAGAGAAAAAGGTGCCTAACTTCTTATTGGCAATGTTTTCTCTCAAATGCCATCATATATTCGATTAAAAAATCAACACCTTCCAAAGTCATAGCGTTGTACATACTAGCTCTAATTCCTCCGACACTTCTATGCCCTTTTAATTGTAACATTCCTAACTCGATAGCTCCTTTCAAGAACTCGCTTTCTAATTCTTCTCGCTGAATTTTGAAAGGTACATTCATTCTTGATCTTACACTTTTTTCAACAGGCGATTTATAAATTTTCGAATTATCAATTATTTCATAAAGTTTTTTAGCCTTAGTTAAATTAGTTTTTTCGATGGCCTCAACCCCTCCCAATTCTAATAACCATTCAAATACTAAACTTGAAATATATATTGAAAACGTTGGTGGGGTATTATAAAGCGAATTATGATCTGCCATTATCTTGTAATCTAACATTGAGGGAATCGCAGGAATACCAGAACTTTTGTTATCAAAATTTTTGGATCTTACTAATAAATCTTCCCGAACTATAACAACGGTTAAACCAGCTGCCCCAATATTCTTTTGTGCACCTGCATAAATAACACCAAATTTTGATATATCAACACGACGTGTGAGGATGTTTGAAGACATATCACAAACTAATGGTACTGAAGGATCAATTTCTGGTATATTATTAAATTCCACTCCGTTAACTGTTTCATTATCACAATAATAAACGTATGCTGCTTTTGAACCACTGAGTTTCCAATCTTCTTTTGGTGGAATTGATCCATATGACCCATAGAATTTTTTGGCATCAAAAACTATGTTAACATTATTGTATAATTTTTTGGCTTCTTCTGCTGCTTTTAATGACCATGAGCCTGTGATTAAGTAATCCAGTGGCGGATTGAATTCTTCCTCAAGATCATCATCTATTTGGTGTCTTTTTGCAGCTAATAAATTATAAACTACTACGGCAAATTGAGTATTACCACCACCTTGCATGAACAAAATTTTATAATTATCAGGAATGTTGAGTAAGGTACGTAAATCACGTTGAGCTTTATTATGAAGATTATCGAATTCTTTGGAGCGGTGTGAAAGTTCCATAACCGACATTCCAGTATTGTTGTAATTCAACAATTCGGCCTGTGCTCGTTGTAATACTGAAGTTGGGAGTTTTGCGGGACCTGCACCGAAATTCCAAACATTTGGTGTCGGCATCTTTGAATATTTTGCGAAATGTAGCAACAAAAAGTACAAAAAGAAAAGAAAAAAAAAACCTGATATTTATATAAAGATAGGCGACAGAATCTATTCTGTGATTGCACGTGCAATCTACCAAATGTGGAGTTCCGGATCATACTTTTTAAAATCTTGGTCAGCATATACACGATAAAAGATTATTAAGCAACTATTAAAGGAAGCTTTCGAAGGGCTGATGAATATTATTGCGCAAGCGACGAGGAAAATCTGCATATCCTTAATAACGATAATATTGTATGAATATGAGAATAAAATTGAGAATAATATTCTTGAATGAGGCAAAATAAATATATATAAATGATGCGTATATTATCAAAGTTTTAGTATGATAACTAGATTAATAATATTAATAACGAAAAGTATATTAGTAAGCTGATTTTTATTAGTAGGTAGGAAGAAACATCATTTTGAATGTTATATCTTAGTTCAACCATTATAAATAATTATCAAAAAAACAAATAAAGGCGGATAATTAGCATTGCCGATGTTAATTTATAATAACTGGCAAAAAAGAATTATCTTCATTGTACGTATAAGATTTTTAGTTATACAGTATAACAGTCATATGATTTATTGTTCCAAAAAAATCCCATAATACGTACAAAAAATATAAATATCTCAAAATGTAGTAATTATATTTTCTTTACGTCCTTATCGGAGGGGCATGGGGTAGTCAATGAGGTTCCATCCGAGATTACACCTGCCGACACCCATTATTCAACCGATACGATGCTCGCTTCTTTATAGCGAGCATCAATTTTTGGATCAAATTTTAATTTATATAATAAAGAAGAGACAATATTTTGTAGGTGAAATAGAAATTGTGTTAATGCAAGCATTTTTCGATGCTATAGTTTCGCAGGATTGTGATTATTGCTCTCTTAAGTTACTCGTCTATTGAGTTAAGCAATAATTTTTCATTAATCAGACAAGTAGCTAGTAAAATTCGCATTAATTAAAATATTCGATTTCTTTAAAGGCTTGGAAGCCTTATTATTTTCACACGTGTAGAAGTATTCATATCTTTAGTGCTGAGTTCACATCTCGACAAACTTTTAGTGCATAAATGTGTGTGGTTTGTCTAACCAGCTTCACATTTAAAATGATTCTGTAAAATACAAACGAATAAAATAAAATAGAATATTTCAAAACTTTAAACACGGGATATTTGAAATTCAGAAACATATTTGGTACTGCAATATTTTCAGTTCTTTATAAAGCTGTTTTATAAAACCTATCGCATGTTCTCGTGAAAAGAACGAAAAACCACTTTATTGTTAGAAATAGGTCAGTTTGTACTGTTAAGATAATATTAACTTTGTTCGAAAATTACAATTGTAACATAGTAACAAAAAAAATTCATTGTACGTAGAACGACTTTTCGAAAAAATAAAGTTTAATAAATGATTAAGATTTGATCAAAAAGCTTCAAAGCTTCATAATAATATAATATTTGAAATAAGAATGCTTCTTATTTTTCAAGCTTATAAATTATTAGTTTTAAATATAAACTTAAGGCTTATTATGATTCTGAAATATATATTAAATAATTAAACTCATACAGAAGAATCTTCAAATTTCGAGTCGAAATATGTTGAAAAAGGTCGGTCACGAAAATTCTTTTAAAATTTAAAGGTTTTTTAAAACTTTAAGCAACATTTCTCAACGCTAATTATAGTAATTTATTATTTTTTTTTTTAAAGAAAGGTCTATTCTCTATCTTTTTTATTTATAATCAATTATACATATATAAGATGAATATATGTAAAAAAACTATATTATGGGAGATGGGAGTAAGAGCTACTTTACTTTTGACCTATTCTTTGCTAGAATGGTCATTAAACCTTTAGTTTTTGAGATGTATTAAAAAAGTTAGTTCATTGTTTGTGTATTTTACTAGTTTTTTTTCTATAAAAAATGGAGTCAAAGGCTTAGTTTTGTTTAGTATTGAAGCCTGAATTGGGGTTGGGTTTGGAAGAATTGAATCATGATTTGTCTTTCTAGAGATTAGTCAAATTGTTTTGTATATTTCTATAATAATGTTATGATGTATTAGTAAAGTGTATTTGTGCTTATAGCTATTTGTATCAAAAGGTGTTAAAGTGTCTCTAATGATGAGTCCTAGTGGTATCTGCTTAGTTATATGTATAGTAATAAATGTTTTGACAAAAGCATCCAAATACAAACATGGTATTTCTAATTTTCATGAAGTTTCATATACTGTTTGTTTAACAAGAGTTGAAAACTGTATATGATTTTGGATACAAATTAATAAATGAACAATATCTTTAAAGACACAATAACATCTTGAACATAAATGGTTTGGATATTTTTTCTTATTTCTCCAATGCAGTAGTAGGTAAGTTGAAAGTTCTTCAGATAACAGTTTAATCTTAAAATTCTTGATTGCTGAAAACAATGGATTAGTGTTTAAAGCTAGTGGTTTTTCTCTAAAAGAAATATATTTTAGCATAGAAGTCCAATCAATATTGTTTTGTAATGTATGTCAGCTTGAGATCTGTTGTTGACAAAACTATGATAGCCGGTTTGTAATTTGATGGATATGTTTTAGAGTTGTTTTTAACAAATATCTGTATAGTTTGTTAAGAAGTCTTGGAACAAAATAGTTGTATAGAAAATGTTATGGTACTGGGTCTAGTGGGAAAATTATACTTGTAGTTTCTTTGATTTTTGTATTTTCATCTAGTATAATGTTGAGTTTTTGATTACATAAAAGTACTTTTAGAATTAGAAGAAGATATGTGTGCTGCTACTTGTCAAGTACAGAATAGTTATGAGGCTTAATAGAGGTTACCAAATTGATATATGTAGTGAAGGTAGGATTGTCTGTACAGATGTTTACTTCTGTATATGAATTGACTGTAATAAGGATAAAGTTTAGCAAATTAAGCATCATACTTATATATAAAGGCCATTGGTTAGTAAAGCAACCAAAACAGGTGTTGGTATTTTGTATATAGCATTTTGCTATTATTTAAAAGTTGTTGTTTATTGTTTGTCAGTTGGAGGTTAAGTAAATTGTTAATGTTTTTTATATTGAAGTTAGATTCTGTTAATGTTTTCTAAAGGTTAATTGGAGGGTTTTCAAAAGAACATAAAGGTCTTTCTAATATTGGGTTTATGTCTTGTGATTGCTCTCGGATTATAGTTATTGATTTAACATAGTTTAGTGCTTTTTTAAAATCTACAATGTCCAAGTGGATTTTCTTTTTGCAGTCAACCTGCAGGTTGTATAGTGATGTTGTTATGTTAAAGTAGCAATGCTTGGAGTGATATAATTGATTCTTTAGTTTACAGCCTGTGTATACTAATATTGTGTTATCTGGCTTTAGGATGTAATGTTGAGCTTTGAGAACTTTGTTGTAAGAATTATGTATCTTGCCAATAATAGAATTATCCATAATTATCTAGCCTTTCTCTTTAGAGTTCTATTAAGACAAAGTATAAGGGTTTACATGTGGGAATATTAATAAAGGATTAATAGAGGCTGCTATTAAGTCTTGAACTATAAGAAACTAGTGTGAACAGCGTTCTCTTGGTATTTTTTTAATATTGTGATGAAAATTGTTCCATTCTAGGAGTTCTGAGTTGGTTGCATTTAGAAATTGTTCTATGCTAAAGATGTTATGATTGTTCAGTTTTTCTTTAAAGTAAGAAGCTCTAGGATGATTTAGCAGAATTTGGTTTATTGAGGTTCCAGTAAAGGTTTTGGAATAAGGCCAGTTGTCACCATTTCATGAAGTCTGTAAATTTAAAGCATGAAGTGCGAACACTATTTGGCTAATTTGTATATTTAGTTGTGAAGCTGAAAAGACTGAAAGTTGAGTGAGAATAGAAGTATTAGTAAGAGCTAAGTCTTGTAATTGTTGTAGTCATAGCTTCAGGAATGGGAAGTCAAAACTATGATGTTTAAGTTTTTTTGAAGTATTGTTACTAAGAAAGAGAGTTAGGCCTGAGCTAAGTTGCTTAAAGCATAGATGTTTGGGCTGAATAGAAATGAGTTTGGAACTCCTCGAGCCAGCCTTGCTTATGTTTAACTAGACTAGTGCAGATCTTGTTAAGTGTATTGATTTGAGTATTAGAAAGAAATATGAAGTGCAACCTATAGAGCAAATGTGAAAAGATAATACTATTTATTATATAGATTGCTTGTTTTTCTGTTATATGAGTGAATTGTAGCTTTTTTAGATTGATTGTTGTCTTGGCTATAATTTTCATTGGCGATTATTGTTAATTGTTCATTTTCAAAAGTTATACTATTATCTGGATCTTTTGAGTTTGTTGCTAGAATTGACTTAATAGGATTGACTTTTATATTGGCAAAATTATAGAAGGAAGAAGCTGTGTAAAGAATGTTGGTAAGAGAAGTTTTGTCAGATGCAATTCATAAGAAGTCATCCATGTATGCCATTACTGAGATATGAATTTTTTTTGGGTAAATGGATGGAATTTCTCCAATAAATCCTTGATGTTCTATATGAATTCTAGATATGAGAGAATCATAATAGATCTTCCAAAAAAGTGGTGAGATTGTTTTTTCCTAATCTACTCCATCTTCAACAGAGTAGGATTAAGTTGGTCCTAAACTAGTAATTACTTTGTTAATATGATGATGAAGCAAGTATAATAGCAAATTGATTGCTTTGTTAGGTATGTGTATTCTTTCAAGTGATTTGCATAGAGTTGGTATATGAATTGAGTCAAAGGCTTTTGACATATCCTGAGACAAGATCCAGATCTCTTTTTGGTTTATAGTTGCATCTTCTAAGATGTGAATGAGTTGGAAAATAGGTTAAAATGTTGATTGATAAAAGAAAGCTGCAAAGTTGTGAGGGAAAAGTATTTGGTTATGAACTAGAATGTTTGTCAAATGATTTGTTAAAATTTTTATAAAAATTTTTTTGGTATGGTCTATTAAAGTAATTGGACAGATAGTA